TAATAGAGGGAAGTGATACAACACTGGTAAATACTTCAGCTGCAACAGGTAAATCTCTTCATGGTCTAGAATCAGAGCTTTCAGTAAAGCCTCCTACAGAGGAAGTAAAGATCAGCGATACCCTTCTTTATTTTATGGCTTGTATAGCGTGGCAGTTGCGGTGCTGACTGGCCTGCTGCTGTTCTCTGGATTCAGTTTGAGAACCAAACCCCTATGAGCGGTTTGTGTTTGTTTTGGCTTTTTTCTCCTTGATACGTTTCCAGTCAAGTGATCTTCTAAGTAGTCTGTAACTGCACTAAGAGCCTTACTGGATTGATGCATTTTTTTAGTTGTGTTTCTTTTTCACATACAGATGCATGGTTTTGTTCCAGTGACTCATCCCTTTCCTTGGATCAACCCCATCTTTGCTTGATTCAACCCAACTCTGTGTTTACTCGTCATTTTATGTTCTTTCTTCTCCTTTCTCCTTTTATAAAAGGAAGCACCAAACACGAGGAAAATGCCAGTGGACACCAGCCACCGTTCTTCCAGCTCCACTTCCCTTCCTTTCCCCCATGATCCTCCTGTGTTTCCCTTTGATCCCCAGCACAACCCAAACCAAGTGCAGCACGTACCCCATGATGTACTGATGCCCAGCATGGTGGGCAAGGCACGTAAACCGTCAGGTAATCACGGGACTTTTCATCCTCCTTCGTGATCAGGAATATTGCTGAAATACAGCTCTTCAGATCTTGTCTTTGATAATTGCTGTTTCAACATCTGCCTGAATTCCTCCAGAAATCTGGAAGGACGAATCATATTTTTTCTTCTCTGCCCTTTTGAGTTGTTCTGCGATTCTGTGCTAAGTGGACCTAATGAAAGGGAATAATCTTTGTGGAAGCATTTTGATGACTTTATATGAAATCACATTTACATTTTTATGAGGTATTCTCTTTAGTGTAAAAGTAGCAGTAAGACCCACCACTTTGTTGGCGTGTGTGAGAGTACTTCCACAAGCTACTCATTTCCAGCAAGTGACACATAAGATTGTGCCAATAGGAATTATTTTCCCTGTGACAGCCATCAAAACCCAGCCTTGAAATAGTCTGCTGGGCTCCTCCTTGATGACATAAGGACTATTAAAGAAATCTGAAGTCTGTAACAGCAGCTGTGGTAGGGTAAGGAGGAAATGCTTTGAGGAGAGCGAGTGCTAGAAAGGATACAGCTAGCTTTTATTCAGAATTGCATGTCAATCAGTAACTGGATGTACTAGTGATTTCATTTTTCTTCTGTCACCAGTTGGCCACAGCTGAAAGTTCTGAGGGGATGAAACAGAAAATGGAACTAAACAAACTTTTTTTTTTTTTCCCCCTTCTCCCCACACCCTCCAGGAGATCAGAACAACATCATCCAGAAACTTTTGGTTGTGCCTGACAGGGGTGAAGCTTTCCAAGGTGAAGACTACCCAGGTGTTACACTGAGCTACGGGAGTCTCTCTTGTGCACCCAAAGACACCCTCTCCCAGGGCCAAAAGCCTCTTGTTAATCCACATTTTGGAGGTGGAGCGTCAAGTGTCTCTGGCCATTGGCTGAACACAAGCTACCCTGCCAGGCACACAGCCACGTTACCAGATAAACGAACAAAGCTCTGGGGGAAACATGCTGGCCAGCCAGGCAAGAGTTTACAGGAGGGCTTCCTCCAGCAGCCTTCACAACATCCAGTGCATCAGTCTTACGCCAGCGGTGGCAGACTGTTGGCCAGTACAGACTTCAGCTCTTTAAAAATGCCACGTGAGCCTTCTTGGGATCCCGGCGCCTCTCAAGGTTGTCCTGTGCCCCCTTCCTGTGTTAAGGCCCCGGGTCCAAGGAGAGTTGATATGCCCCCAGAAGAAGACTGGCGACAGAACAGCTACACCCCTCAGCCTGGCAGAAGGCGAATGCTGCCAATGCACGGGATGGATGGGCCTTTTTCTCCTGCTTCGGAGGCACACAGAAATGCGCTGGCTCGAGCAGCAGCAGCTACTGGCACCACGCAGAACAATGGCTGGTGAGATCCCGTCCGCTCCACGTGCCCGAACAAACCACGCTGTGAACAGGCTACAGCTGTTGCCAGAGCACGGATCACATGGAGACAGCAAACTTGTTCAATTAGTATCTGCGCCAGTTTTGTCTTAAAATGTAGCTATACAGTATGTGGAAACTAATTGCACTGTGTTTCATTTTTGACACTACTGAACTGCTGTCTGGATGGGGAATCTTAGCTATTCTAGTCCTGGCCTCTCCTAGAAAAAAGGCGCTATAGGAGTGGTAAGCTTCAGGGGCATTGGTTTACGGGTAAGTTCAGAAGTATGTTTTGAAGGAAGATGGCCGCTAGCAAAAGGACATTTTTAAGAACTGTTTTTCATGAAATGTAGCTTTGGTAAATTCTTCACATAAAAACCACAATCCTTTTGTTTTCCTCTCCTTCCGCTCTCCTGTTCTTTTCAAGGCGGGGAAAAATTGACCTGCCTTCCAGGTTCCAGTAAATGTGCACTTGGCAGGCTGGCAGTTAGCAAAGCAAGCCCATTTTCAGTGTGCTGAGGTCTCGGACAGAGATCACAGCTGTAGTTGCTGCTGAGGAAGTGGCAGGGAGATATTGTTCATCATTAAACCAGAATTTTCCCTGCTTCCTTAAGGCAAACTAACAATGCTTCGAACAGAAAAGACTGTTAATGCTGCACGCTTAACTACACCAATGTAAACACAGAATAAGTTTAACTATTTTAGTGTCAAACGTACTTGCTTTTGTAAGTATTTTTCAAATAAATCTATGAAAATAGTTCTATTTACCTGTCTGTGTATGAGCTTTTTTTGCTCTTGGACTTTACTCATCAGCTGGCCTGAAACTGCTGTTTCATTTTCTTATAGCCTTGCAAACATGAGTGAATTATTTTAGTTCATTAACATAGATTATGTAATAAATATTTAGTTAGATTGGAGGACGTGTCTAATTTTGCCCCTGGATTTGATGTGTTTCATCACTACACTGTGCTTAACTTACCCCCATAATGCACAGTAATTAACAGTGTCCTTTGAAAAGTATTTTGTGGCTGTTGGAGGGAAAACTACAGAACCTGTGCAAGATGCTCACGTGTGCAGGTAGGACTTGTATACCAAAAAGTCATTAGAAATAATTGGTGTAGTTGGAAGGGTCGTTTTAACCAGAGTGGCACTCCTGCTCTTCCACATGCTGGTGGTGGTTCCAGGTGTGGTGGTTATGAGTTCCATAAAAATCTGGAGGGTCTATTGGATATTTGTGTTGAGAGCGGGACTGCATTTGTGGTGGTCCCAGCCCAGGCAGCCCCTGGAAGGTCTGGACTGCCCTCTAGTGCACCCTGCTCCTTGGTGTCGTGCCCCTGCTGTTGCTCTAGGTGAAGGTCTTCATTTTAATTTTGTGTTTTGCACCTCAGTACTTGATGGAATTTCATCAGTTTTTGCTGTTCAGTGTGAGAATGAGTCTCGTTCATTTTAATAAATGTCATTTCTCACTTTCTCCTTCTGAAATAATTGCTATTATATCTGTTATTGTTACAATCTCATGTAACTGCATCACGGTAAACTGTGTTTTACGTTTGGGCTTATGTTGCACGCTTCTTTGTACTTAACTGCCCCTGCTAGCAGTGGTTGCTGGAAGAGAAGACTCTTCTTCCACCTCTCCATTCCAAAAAAGTCCTGCTGACTTTTGACTTTTTCACATAATGGTTTTGCCTGTTTAGTAACGTGAAACTTAGAAAAGTTCTAGCTTTTTACTAATTTTCTAAATACAAAACAATGGAGAATTATTTTACTCGAAAGAGCTATTTGATGAAGGTTTCCCAACAGATGCAGAATTGTTAGTCTCTCTGGCTGCCCATGGACGTGCTATAGCCAACTGCTAAGTTTCTAGCCACAGAGATTATGATTTTAAGAAGTGACTGCAGTGCAGGGGTGGAGAATTGGACAAAAACATTCCTGTTGCAGGCCCCTCTGCCCCTCTGCTCTCAGCTTTTTGTTACCTTCAGCAGCTGGAAGAAGTTACAGTAGCCTCAAGATGCAAATGAGGACATGTGTAAGTATTTGACACTAAAAAAATTCAGGTTGCAAAGTGAGGCTTAAGTAGAATTGAACTCAATTATCTAAAAAGATAATCTGACAAAGTACAAACTCACCTCTTCAATAGGGAGTAAGAAATATTTTCAAATGTACATGCTTAGATTTATTTTTTTTCTTTAAACCCTAGCTACTGAGAAGGAGGAACCATAAAGCTCTGCAGAATCATCCTGAGTCGAAGCAACTCATTTTAACCATCAGTGGTGATATCCAGTTTTTCTTTTAAAGGGAACTGTTGTTTTTATTCCATTATGATAGTTCTAGTTACTAAGTTTTAAAACTGATTTGTAAATGTCCTGTGTGCATCACTTACTATGAAATTAACTCAATCAGAGGCCTGCAAATTAAAAGTTGGCACATAACCTCTGAAATATCTCCAAATTAAGCAGTATGTTAGTGTATCAGAGTGGAAACAAGCTGAAGTAGATTCAGCAATATAACGTGGGAGAAAATGTGAAGGAGAAAAATACCTTTACTTCATCCGTAGCTTGTGCCTGCAAGTCTTAGTGAGGTTAGTAAGTTAATATTTACCTTGCAATTAATTTGACTAACTGCTAATTTTCAAGTGTTTTCGATGATACTTATTGGCTATTTAAACCCTAGAAAAATCAATTCTGTGTTAGTTTATTAGCTCATTAAATTTCACCATTGCCTATGAGAAGGATGAGGAGGAATGTTCCACAAGGAATTCAGTAGCTTTTACAGAACAGTCTTTCTTTTTAGGGTTTATAAGGTTTGTAAGCTTTGCGACATAACCAGTGCTTTTTTTGTAGAGTGTCTGTCACTGGCTGCAGAGTAGATTAGTGTATGGAGCTAAGTGAAATGAAGCCTCCCCACGCTCAAATTTATGTTTTAAAATAATTTAATTTTAGTTCTCCTAAAAATAAAATTCTTATTGCCTCTGTAGGTTCTCTTACTATGTTTGTGATATGTGTTTGGACCCAACTGTATAGGGGGCAAAAAAGACCAGTAATAAAATGAGGAGTAACTCGGTGTTCTAGCAGTAGCAAATTTGTGTAAATATACTCAGTTTATGGAAAAGGAGCTACCTTGTACAGTTCCTTTTCTTGAAGATAGCAGAGTTTGTGCTCACTGTTTATGGAAATCGTACTCCGGCCTGCTGAGGAGCAGATTTGTTCAAATGGAGTGTGCGCTGGAGTGTACGGCGCTAGAGAGGTAACCAAAAAGCATTCTGCCCTAGAGAGGTGAGCTACGAAAGTGCAAGGTAAGTGCTTGGTCCTTCTTAAACAAAGGCTGCTGCACCCACATCAAAATGCAGGGAGTTTGGGAATAGGGAAGGAACTGTTTTACTGGTATTTTCCATGATGCTAACATTGCTGAAGCTGACTTGCCAGTGACGGTTGGGGTAGGACGTATGAAGCGTAGGCAGGATTCCAGAGAACTGGCAGTCATGCGGGTTTTGCATCTAATGTCACTTGGGGAGAGGGCCAGGGTAGGCGTGTGCGGAGAAGAGAAGGAGGAAAGCAAAAGACAAGGGCGAGAGAGTGGATGGGAATAGGAAGGAACAGATGGATAGGCGAAGACGACTGAAAGAAAATGTGTGCATTACTTCACCCAAATGTGTCCGTCTTTCCAAAGAACACAGTAATTCATCTGTCTGAATTTTCTTTCCTTCTTTTAATAGACAGATTCCTGTGCAGAGAGGGTCCTCAGCAACAGTCTGCCTCTGAAGCTTTCGGGAAGGGAACATTGACTGAGGTAGAGAGTAGGCATTGTCCTTTATAGGAGTCTTTAGTAATGTTCATGCCATGGCAAATGTGCAGAAACGCATATCGCCCCTAGATCTATAAATAGACAGACACTGGGCAAACAGCTTAAGCTAACTTAGTGCTTGTGCCAGTTGTGGCAAAGATAAAAATGTCCCTGGGTTTTGCAAATACCTCACCAAAGTTAGATGTGTTCTGGAGTCTCCGACCGCTGTGCTTCCTCCTGTTCAACACTATAGGTGACAAAAAGCAAAAGTATGAGATTCTCATCCACCTGTGCTTGCTGTCTCTAGCATTTAACCACTGCGTAGTCCAGAACCTTTTAAGCCTGGTTAGAGACCTGTAATGCTCCTTTTATGCTAGTTCTTCCACCATTTCTCTCACTGGTGGTTACCTGTGAAGTCTCAGAAAACGTTTTAGAAAAAGCATGTTAATTACTTTTTTTTTTTATTCTCTTGCACTACTGCTGATGTTTTCTGCATCATTCTTCTAGTTCATTGAAGGATTTTTTTTTTAATCCTTTAAAATCCCCCAAAATGTAACTTGGAAATGCTGAGCTTAATGGAAAAATAGCAACCAAGACCAACTATGCCGTCACTTCAGAGCAATGAATATGTTTGCCGGCATATTCATGGAAGCAGGTGCAAATGGACGAGTTCAGTTGCAGCGACCTAAACTTCCTTATTGGCATCAATATAATTGTTGTAGTATTCATTCTTGAGTGAGTAAGCACTAAATATACTCCTGAATAAGAAGATCAAGTGTTTATTTGTAAACTAACTTGCATTAAGTTTGTTGAAGGAGAGTTATCCTGAGTTTGCGATGGCTCAATCCCAGATGATTCACAGGCTTGAGACGCTTTATGTGTCTATATATCACTAATCAAAATAATTTTAAATATGAATACATGAGAAAAGTGAGTATAATAAAAATGTACTTTAGGAACAAATAAAATCTAGGAATCGTATTACGAAATTTTAGCTTAACTTTTTACTACTCGGGCAAAGCAATCTTGATGGCAGTCCACAGTTATCTTCTATTTTTTTTACTCAGAATTTGTACCAGTTAATTGTTACATGACTATCAACTGAGGGAGTTCTAATTATAGAATTCTTGCTAATTTAAAAAAACAAATAAAAGCAAACTATTCAATATTGTCTTAAGTACCTTAAAGCACATTAAAGCATGAGCATGGT